GTATGAAAACAAGTTAGCAATCAACTTAAGAAATCTTTTAAAAAACAGATGCAATTTATCTTGGAAATCACTTGATTATCTGGTAGTCACTTGAACTTTCTTGATTATATTCTTTACCTATGGCTGCTATTGAATTGATTTTGCTTGTAATTCTTGCTTTGAAAAGTTACTTTTTTAAAGAAATTCTTGACAGATCATAAATTGCATCATCCTATGTAATTGTGGCCTTGGCCCTTGGATTTTTCTCCTCAGCAGTGAGTGCCATTGTTGAGAGTTTTTACATTCCCCTTTCTGCGCTGACCCTCTGTCTCCAAATGCCACTGATGAAAGACAGCAGCACCAAGCAGCCACCATGGGATCTGCTCTCCAGTTTGTGCCTTGGTCGTAATAGCAGTGGCTCAGAACAAACCGGGTTTCCTTATGGCAGGAAAGTATGCTCATTTGGGGGATGGTTGCCTAAGCAAGGGCTCACTCAGGGGAGCACAGTTTTCTTTAATCATTCTTTTGGTGTTTAGTTCTTCCAGTGGACTTGGTAAATTTCTCCTGTTTTCCCTCTGCTCCCCTCCCCAGTACTTTGTTGTTCCCCTTCCCCCTTTTTATATGGATTTTTGGTAGGATGGGGAAAAAATGATGGAGAGATGTTTTATACTCTAGTCCTTGCATTAGTAGATATGGAGAAATGACTGCTAGGTGAGGGGCAAAATGACAGATACCAAATAAGTGAATAAGATGATACCAAATTCACTGTATTTCTAAACATAACAACTAGAACCATGTTGTACGTGAATGTATAATCACAGATTTTTTTTATTTCCCCACAGAGTTTTCCAATCTTTCATCTACAGATATATGCATAACACTAGAAAAAGGTGTTTCCTCCTTCAAAAATTTCCTAATTTTTTAAATTTACATTTTCTTTTGGGTTATAGGTAAACCTTGAAATACAATTTTATTTAGTTTTTGAAATAAAGTTTTATTTTTAAATTGGGATATAGTTAGGTGTGCTGAGGTTTCTAAGCATTTCAGATAAAAAGGAGAATCCATTGCTACAGCTGATGAGAGTCCACGTGGTACATACAGCCTGTTTGGGGCACCTGCAGCAAGTGGCGTGTGGGGTTTGCTTCTTGCTCCTGGGGCACGGCGGGGGGTGGGGGTGACCTGGAAAGGTAATTTATTTTATGGCTTAAATAAAAAGGCCTGTTTTGCAGTTAGGGGAAGAAAAAGCCAGGACTAAGATTAAGATCAAAGTGGATACTTACTGCTTTTCTGTAAAGCACTGCTCATACTCTGATAATTAACTTTGTCAGTATGCCTTATGTAATCTTTTTTAAAACAATTTCCTCTGAGGCTGTAATTAGATACAGCCTCTTGTGTTTTGTCATCATTTATGTGTTAATTTCTAAAATGATCTGTGACCAATTGAGAAAAGGGTGAAGCAGGGCTTTTGTGTTTTGGGGACCTGGAATCCTGTCCTCCCCATGGACGGTTTTTCTCTGGATGTTTAGATGCTGTGGGAGGCAGAACAACAACCCCAGTGAGAACTACCAAGTAGCAAAAACTTAGCTAAGTCTTTTAGGCTCTGTTAACCCCCTTGTTGAGTTAGATTGGTTTATCCAGCTTGCATAGAACAATAGTTCCTCATGCTAGTCAGTGGGTCCTGAGAGTGACATTTTTTTAATTAATGAGCTTTGCCTAGGAATAAATGGCTGTCTGAAAGTGGTGGATGATTTTGTTTGCCAAGGCTTCCATCTCCCACGACTGTTGATTTGTCACTTACTCTGAGAGGAACTTCTAGAGCAGATGTAGCTCTCTTCCACATCTCCCTGCCCCCATCCTTTTAAATTTGCCACTTTGCCTGGTAATAAAGAACAAAAGTTCAAGTCAGCTTCAAGATCTAAATGGTTTATTGAATGACTCCTGAATTGGGCAGCAGCTGTCTAGTAAAGAAAAAGGTGCTGTGAGGAGTTGTGCAAAATGGAAGGTGTTTGTAGGCAGAAAGAGGGTGAAGCCAGGAAGTTGAACGAAAATGGATTATTTCAGGCAAGGTCAGCTCCCCTGAAGGCAGCGGGTTTTGTCAGGCAGAATACCTCACTAGCCCAGACCAGGAAAGTCCAGACTGATAATTTTAAAATTCCATTCCTGGGAGTGGTTGAAACTGCAGGTAGGTTAGGAAGTCAGTCTGGGTGGGGTTTACCTCGAGGGCTTTTTGGGTCTTTTTTTGTTTTTTAACACTGGGAAGAACTGCATAGGCAACCAGGTGTTGTGTGAAATATTGACCCAGTTAATTATCAGAACTCCTTTCTTTCTTGAGATATAATTCCTATACCCTTCTAAAATTCACCCCTTTAAAGTGTACAGTTCAGAGGGTTTTGGTGTACTCACAAAGTTGTGTAAACTCCAGCACTAATCCCCCCAATTTTCATCACCCTAAGAAGAAACTCTGTATCATTAGCAGTCATTCCCCATCCTCTCCTGCCCCCACCACTAATCTGCTTTCTATCAGATTATCTGTTTTATATAACACTGAAATCTGTTGTCCCTGTGACTTAATGGTTAGATGAAAGGGGAAGTGGGTGGAAGCTCCATGAACAAGCTCTTAGGGCCTAGCCTCTTATTTTCCACTCTTGCTTCTAGGGCCACCTAGGCCCCCGTGCATAGGGAAGGTGGTCAGGCAGCTGAGCCCGTGAGCCTGGTTCTCTCTTACTGCTTGTGATTAAATTTACCAGTCTAAAATATCGAATGTCTGGTAGTAACTTTCAAAAAGTTGAGTCTGACTTACTAATGAAATTGATTTATGGCAAATACTGTTTTGACTTCTAAATGAGGAATCACCGACAAAAGCATTACATGTCCTCTCTACCTTTTTGTTACGTAACTTTAGAATAGGCAGAATTTAAATCATATAGGACTTCGCCAGTCAAAATCAGAAAAACAGGTAGCTTGAACAGATTGTGGGCTTGGATATATGTGTCAGATATGCTTTGACTTCTTTGGATTGCTGCCCATCACACTGGTGTGAGATCTTGAAGTCTATGAGTTTTGAAGACAAATGGGGATTAATTTAAAGGGGGAGGGGAAGCACCAGTCCTCAGTAGTTTCCCGTGATTGTAGTGGACAGAACAGACATTGAGAAGCACTGACACAGTGATGTGTGTGAGAGAGCCACTAGGGACGTGGGGATTGCTCACTGGATGCTCTTGGCTGGTGATGCAGATTTATTACCTGTGATGTGTTCCTAATTGTTCAGCTCTCCTGGACTATCCCAAATAGTTTCTTAGAGAAATGGAGTGCGGGAGCTTCTCCCAAGATTTCCACTTTTTATGTAACTGTGTTTTTTGGTCTAAGTACTCGCTGTATGTGGCTCTTTTTTGTGGGATGGCATGGCAGGCAGTTCCAGGGACAGATGTGCCTCTTCTGGGCCTCTGTGATGGAGAGCAGGAACGATGGACCCCCAGAAACCGTGCCTGTTTAGGTGTGGGTGCCAGGGCATCTAGTGAATTTGTGCAGAAATCTAAAACACCGAAGTCACAAGTGGTTGTCAGACTTTTTACAATAAAAGGTGGTAATTGCTTAATGCAGGTGCCCTTTTGAGTCTTGCCCTCTGGCTCTCCTGTTATTCTAAGTGACAGGTGCTAGACCAGGCTTGGAATTGCTTTCCCTCCCTTGATTTGGCAGATAAAACAGGAATTCATTATTGGGGATTAATGCATCAAAATGTTGTGGTTTAAAAAGGGCTGTGAATACAGTTGGCTCCATTTGAAACAAGTACATTCTTTCTGAAAACATTAATTTGCTTCAAGGATGGTTGGTTTTTCTGTTTATTCTGTTCAAACATTCCATAGAAAAAGAGGATCTACAGAAGAATATTTTCAGATCCATTGAATTATGCCTGACCCTTGTTTAATCTCTTTTTAAAATCCAATAATGCCTGGCCCTGGGCAGGTGACTCAGTTGGTTAGAGCGTCCCAATATGCCAAGGTTGCTGGTTCTGTTTCTGGTCAGAGCATGTACAAGAAGCAATCGATGAATGTATAAATAAGTGGAACAACCAGTTGATGTTTCCCTTCCTCTCCCTCTTTCGTCCTTCTTTCCAGTCGTTAAAATCAATAAATAAAATTTTTTTAAAAAATCAGTAATGCCTGACCTTTCTCTCCCACACCTCTAAAAAATTCCCAGTAGGAAAATACGTAAAGTAAAAAAAAATGAAACTCCTTTTGTCCACCCTTAGTTTTTACCCCCTGGATTCCTACTACTTTGCAGAACTATTTTTCAGCTATTTGTTTATTTCCTTCCAGTAACTACTCAGTGAATATGTAAATAAAGCCATGTGTATTTGTAGTGCTTTTTAAGTGACATGTGCCAACCCTTTCAGTAGAGGTGACGTAATTTTACTTTTGGTGAGTTGAAATTTTTTGCCTAGATGTTTTAATTACAGTAAGTCCACAGTTAACGTTGTGGATAGGTTCTTGGAACTACCGCCTAACATCCTAATTGATAGAAACAAGAGTGAAATTCCTACGTATCTCATCAACATTATGATGAAATGATCTTGAAGAAAACGACATTATGTGAGGACCTGCTATATGAACTTTTGAGATAATAGTGACTTACAGAGGTGTGATTGATGCACATACCTCAGAGTGGGACTTATTTGCCATATGAGAAGGAATTTTCTCTATTCTGGCGATTGACTTGGGATTGCTTCTAAAACAAACTGCTAAAAACTGCTAAAACAATCTTTGTTAATTTCTTTGAAACACTGCTTTAAGAAGAGGGACCATACATAGTACAGGGCGGCCCTTGGGATAATAGGATTGCTGCCGAGTTCCTCTGTTTTGTGCTTCTTAGGTATGTTGGTTCACAGTTAAAAATAGAGCTCTAATTAAAATGGGTGTTCTCTCTGGAAATAAGAACTATATTTCAATTAGTAAATTTCCTGTTTCCTTAACATGTGGTCTTTTTTTGTTTGTTTGTTCCCTTTTAATTTTTTTTTTAAACAGCAAGCCAGGGCTGAGCAGGAAGAAGAATTCATCAGTAACACGTTATTCAAGAAAATTCAGGCATTGCAGAAGGAGAAAGAAACCCTTGCTGTAAATTATGAGAAGGAAGAAGAGTTCCTCACTAATGAGCTCTCCAGAAAATTGATGCAGGTAAACGGTCTTTTCTCCCCTCTCATCTTCTCTGCCTGTTGTCCTTTGTAGGGAAAAATGACTTTGACAGAGCATTTTGCTTGAAATATTTGCTGATGAGGTTGTAGCTCATGTTCTTTGGAGATTTGAAGGTATAGGGTGAAGATGGCAGCAGTGTGACACTCAAGGCTGCGACTCCACAGCTCGTCTGCTTAGGGAATGTAAGATGTTTTAGCCAGCGTTTCAGGGGATTCTGACAACCCGGAGGCCTTAGCCTGGGAGTGAATGCAGTGCGCAGTATTTTGGAAATAAAAGGATTAATGTGAGGTTTCTTTCTCCTTTTATATCGAATCTGTAATGAATGCATAAACAGTTTTGGCAGTCAGAAGTGGGTCTTTAGTACTAAAATAGGAGGATGTAAAGTAAGATATCCCTTTAGGGGGAAAAAAGAAAAGATATTCACAATCTGTGGTTAAAATTACACACAATCTGTTGTGTTCAAATGGCTGGCTAATATGTTGCTGAACAAATATCAGACATTTATTAAAACTTAACATTAATTTCCAATAGTATGTAAAAGACACCACACAATACATATAGGAAGGTTTGATTGTTTTAATTCAAAGGCTCGCTCCCCACCCCTCCCCCACCGAAAGCTTACTAGGGAAGTACAAAACTAAAATTTGTTTAGGGCGAACATTTTCTGGGTTACCTAGTATGGACTCAAGAATAAGTGGAATATTGAGATTTTACTATTTAACACAGCTTGTTCAAAACAGTGAGCAGAGGTAAAACTATTGCAGGAGGACCATTATGCGCACTTCGTCACAAGGCTGTGGAAGGTAGAAACACGCCCTTGTGTTTGCCATTCACTGGCGTCACGAACAATTTCCTTCCTTAATGTGGTTGACATATGTATCTTAGATTATAATAAGGATATTCGAGGCTTTAAAAAAAAAGCTTCCTAAATTATTTTTTTTCCCATGCAACATAGATTATCCTATAAGAAAAGACTGGAAACTTTGGTATAGAAACTTTAGTATTAAGACTATAGAGTGGCCTGGGCAACTTTTCCTCAACCTTTGTTTTATTCCCATTTTTCTACCTGGTTACTGAATAAAGATACCATTATAATCTTGCAGAAAAAATTGATTTGTATGGCAGCTGTCCAAATGTGAAGAATAGAGGTATCCAGGCATCTGTAGAGATTTAGGGCAGAATTTCTGCATGGACACTTTTTGTTTATTCATGTGCATTCTGATCTTAAGGAGAAAAATGAGGGAGAAGGTTAGTTTGGCCTTTGAGTATATCTCGCCTCGGCAGCATTAAATAACTTATTCTCCCTGTTGCTTCTAGAACTAAAGGGATACAATTATGGTTTTTTGTTCTGATTTGGTATGTAATCAGGTGCCCCAATTTTTAATATTGTAAGAAACTTTTTTTTCAACTTTAATGGTTGTTAATATTTGGACTATTTGACCAAAGTACATTATAAAGCTATCAAAACCTAGCCGGATCACAGTTCTTTTCTCTGTAAAGACTCATCCTCATTGTGAGTGCTTCTTTAGTGTATAGTTTATAATCAGCCTTTCGTTCACTTACCATGCCCCACCTGCTTTCCAAGGACATTAAAATAAGGTGCTAAGGAGGAGTGAAAACATTAAGAGTCATGTGTAACAGAATGAGGAGTTAGTTATAGTAATACACTTGACATAAAAAAGTTTGAACTTAAAGTTTAAGCTCTAGCATCCTATAAATCCATAACCTAGAGAAATATAGTGATTCTTTTTTTATAATTCATATGTCTAAAAAATAGTTTTACTTGGACAGAAGAAAAAGTTTTCATATATCAAAAACAAAATTTTTGGAGATGCATTGGATCTTTCTAAAGAAACTAATACATAAATTGAACAACACACTAAACTCTTTGCCAAAAGTAATACAAGGTTTGTCTGGTAAAAGTTCAGCCATTGTTACTATAACAAGAACAGTTTGTGTGATATCGATGTAACCTGGCAGCCAGGGAGAGTGGACTGGAATGTGCCTGTGTGAACAATGATGACTTCACTGTACTAGTCAGTGGGGCAGTAGACGCCATTGAGTGAGCATGTGTACTGTGTGGCAGTTGCATTCAAAACAACTGTGTGAATAGAGCAACTAATCTGCATCAAATTTTGCATTAAGCTTGAACATTCCTCTGCGGAAACTATTTGGATGATTCAGAAAGCTTTTGGGGACAATGCAGTGAGTGGAACGCAAATAAAAGTGTGTCACAAATGCTTCAAAGATGGCTGAGAATCTGTTGAAAGTGACCCATGTTCTGGAAGGCCTGCAACAGTCAGAACGCCTGAGAAAGTTGACCCTATATGGGCTCTAGTCAACAAAGATTGACAACTGATAGTGTGAGAACTAGAAGCTGATCTGGGGATTCCAAAAACTACTGCGTCCAGGATTTTGATGCAGAATCTTGGTATGAAATGTGTTGTGGCAAAATTCATTCTGTGGCTTCTGCTGCCATAGCAGAAGAAACACTGTGTTGCAGTTGCTAATGACTTGATTTGAACCACTACCGATGAACCAGATTTCTTCAAGTTCATAACCAGAGGTGAATGGTGGGTCTGTGGCTGTGATCTGAAAACGAAGACTCAGTCGTCCCAAGGGAAGTTGCCTGGTTCTCGACGCCCAAAGAAGGCATGACAAAGTCATAGCAAGATCAAGACCATGTTAACTGTATTTTTTGATTGAGAAGGTATTGTCCATCACGAGTCCATCCCTGCAGGGAAAACTCTGTGAGATCCCAAGGTGCCTGCTCTGAAGGGGAGTGAGGCATCCTTGTTCTGTGTACAATGTTTCTTGTATCTTGTGTCTTCAGTAAATGTCTATTTTTCATAGTATGCGGATGGATACTTTTTGGACAGTGTGCAGCTGCTCTTCTGTTTGCCCTCATTCAAAACAAAGGGTACAGTATGAAGGCGTGACTCTGTTGTTTAGGAAACTCTGGATGGGTCTATAGCTTGTTAGTGATCTAATTCATAGTACCTGGACAAATGAGTGGTCAGCATGTCTCTGAGAAAATATCTCATGAATCCTAGCTTGGTTCATAGGAGGTACATATATAGTAAAATAAACATAAAATGTTCCATTTCAATCATTTTTTGAAGTGTAATACAATGACATTAAATACATTCACACTGTTATGTAACCATCATACTATCCATCCCCAGAACTTTTTCAGACAAACTCGGTACACATTAATAACTCGTCATTTCCCACTGCTGGTTCTTAGACTTTCGAGTGGAGATGGTTGGCAGGGAGTGTGGTTTTGAGGTCTCTTTAGAGCTATGTCTGTTCTGTGGTATGATAGGTGATCTCTCACTTTAAACATCAGGTACCAATACCCAAGAAGCCCTCTTCTATTGTGGGCCAGTTGGAGAGATCTCAGATACTGCAGGGAAGAAAGGCTGAGGGCCTACGTAATCCGGACCCCAGGCTCCTCAGTGTGTATTTCCCTGATTCTGCCAGTCCTTCGTGGAAGACTCACATTTTCTGCCACCCGGTGTGGAAGGGCTGATCTCCATCTGGAAGACTTTTAGAGTAATTGGCACCAGTAGACTTTTTGAACTGTGTAATCACTTTAATCTGGCTCTCTAGGACGTTTGCTTCTGGAGAGGACTTTGTTGTGAAAAGCCTGCTAAGAGAAACCTACTGCAGGTGTCACTGATGGAAAAATGAGTGAATTGACCTGCTCACCGTGAAAGTGTTTAGCATTTTCCACCCAAAGTCCACTGAAGGAAGTTTATTGAACAGTTTTGGTTTTGTCATTATACTTTGGCTGTTGTCTCTCAGACTGATTGGACATTGCTTTTATGTGCATTTCAAAGGAATCCTTTGGGCCTGAGAACAAAATGAACTTATTGCTATGGAGGAGACACCGTCCTTCCCATTTGCTGAATGAGCTGCTATCTAACACCTTTATAAACTGAATCTAGTTTCTTCAAGTGAAATGAGAGGAGATCTCTTGGCCCTCCTGGAAGATCAAGTTTGGGAGACAGCTTATTAAACACCTCCAAATACATTAATGTGCACTGAAACACACACACACACACACACACACACACACACACACACACACACACAGATCATGCAGTGTTTTCTCCCTTGCTTTTGCAGCTATCTGATAAATAGGCACAAAGTTATATCTTCATTTTGTCAAAATCCTTATCTGAAAAATCTGTATCCTTCTGAGCTTCGACTGGGATTGATTATCTGACTAGTGAGAAATTGTCCGATGAAGAGCTTCCTTATAACTTTTTGGTAAACTCAGCATAAGCCTGATCAGAACTAAATTCCGCCCTGGAATGCCTTGAAGAGAGGTTGTAGTTTAATCATAATTTGTAATTAAAATTTATAAGAAATGCCGTGTGAGCAAACTCTCATCAGAATTTGATATATAACGTGCATGTTAAATAACAAAGTCTAATGAACAGTACAGTGAAGGTAGACAACCATGTTATGTTATAACCAAACTTGTGATGGGACTAGATCTTAGTGATTCCTCCCACAAAAAAAAGAAATGATAATTTTGTGATGTGATGGAGGTGCTAACTCTCACTACAATGGCAGTCATATTACAATATATAAATGTACCAAATCAATGTTGTACACTTTAAATTCATACAGTGCTATATGTCAAATATGTGTATTTTAAAAATCTGAATGGCTATTCTCCAATGTTAACTGTAATTATATTTGGCTACTGAACTTTTACAAGTTAGGTTAATTTTCTTGTGTCCTTTTCCTTCTAATTTTGTAAAAACAACATGAATTTCTTTCACAATTACAAAATGCACTAGTTTTCCCTTATCCACAAGAAATACATTCCAAGACCCCAGTGGGTGCCTGAAACTGCAGATAGTATTATGTATGTGGATATATACTATATATACTATGCTTTTTTTCTATACAGACATACCTTTTCACTTAAAGGAAGCATTTTACAGCTTCTCTTTGGCATGTCTGAA